AGACGCGCACCCCCATAAAAAAAAAAAAAAAAAAAAAAAAAAAAAAAACCTCTCTAAAAAGAAAATTATTTTATTTGGGACCAGCACATGGCATAATGGCCATGTCTCTGAACTCCCATGTAGTCAACTACGGTTCAAGTCCCGGTCTTGGTGGTTTAAACTCAGGCTGGGCACGTATACGTGCATGCCCAAGATCCCAAGAGGAGAATGGAGGAGAAGGGATTGTGGTGTGGCCATCCCCCTAGGGGGTGATTTCTCGCTTTCTCTCTCTCTCTCTCTCTCTCTCTCTTTCTGGCTAGTGCACATGTGCCCTATAGCAAAAACTTCTTGGGGCCAGCAGGTTGCATAATGGCTGTTGGTGTGGGCTGCTTTTTTTTTAACTGTGGTTTGAGTCCCAGACCTGGTGGCTTAAACTCACGCCAGGTGTGTGTGCGTGCGTGCCCAAGATCTTGAGAATGGAGAAGGAATCATGGCATGGCCATCCCCCCTGGGGGGTGATTTCTCGCCTTCTGCCTGTCTCTGTCTTTCTGGAGAGTGCACAAGCACTATAGCAAAAACCTCTCCAAAAAAAAAGAATTTATTTTAACTTTATGTATGTATGTATATATGTATTTTAATCTGACCAGAAAGGTACAGAGAGAGAGAGGAGGTAAGAAAACAAGCCCCCAGGTCCAGGTCTAGGACTCGAACTACGGTTGGCCATGTGGAAGTCCAGCACCCTTTAACCACCACACCACCTGCTGGCCCCACCTTTCACCACCCTAGCCTCACCCCCCACCTTGCCTTGATATTTTGAAGTCAGATCCAGCTGGTCAGAGGTTCTGGGCCAGGGGGCATGGCCCTGCTGGTCAGAGATGTCTACTGACCTCCAGGTCTTAACCTTCCTAGCCTTGGGAAGTCTGGTTGTGGTCTGATGTGAACCAGAGACTCCCTGGCATTTGCTGGTGGGCTCAGGCCTTGGGTTACACAAAGTTTGCAATCTGGGGAACCTTTTCTGGACTGAAGTGACAGTGCCCAATGTCTGAGCAGCACCCAGCAGACTGAACCCCAAACCCTCTGTGCTGGAGCCCTGAGCAGACAGCCCACCCTGCCCCATCCCTACTCAGCCAGGCCTAAAGCTGCAGTTGTCCTAGCCCAAGCCCATGGCCAAGTTTGTGAGCACAGGCTGATGTCCCTCAGAACCAGCCACACCTGTGCAGTAGTTTCCGCCAGGGTTGAGCAAGGTCTGGGAGGCTTCGATATCCAGAACTAGAAGTCTGGCTGGGGAGAGACTAGGAGAAGGAATACACAGCACACACAGACACACTTCTGGGAAAGAGGGCAGTTCTTCCAGAACAGCTAAGGGCTCAGGAGGGCACACCTGTCTCTGAGTGTGGGGGAGGTCCTCAGGCTGGGCAGGCTACAGCCCTCGCCCCAGAGACACCTGAGGTTAGAGACTCCCTTGGTCTTAGTTTCCCCACCTGCTGATGAGGACAGATCATAGAAGCATTAGTGGGTAGGTGGAGCAAAAGGGCCTGCATGAACAGTTTCTGTGGGCTGGTCGGCAGACACCATGCCAGTGGCCAGGCTAACAGGCACGGGCTACCCTCTCCCCTCAAAGCCTGGGTGTTCACAATGGAGCAGGTTTCACCCATGGGACCCAAGGACAGTGTCCAGATTCCTCATGGAGTCCAGATTGGTGTCCCCAGCCCATGTGGTTCCCACATGGTCAACAGTGTGATTTAAATTCTGGCCCTGGTGACATGTAGGCACTTGTGTGTATGCCCCAATATCCCAAAGGGATGGAGAGATGGAGAAGGGATTATGGCGTGACCGTGCCCTATTGGATGGTGCTTTCTCCCTCCCTCTTTCTCTCTTTCTGGTGAATTCATGTGTCTTCTGCCAAATTAAAAAATAATAATAGGGGCTGGCAAGTGGCATGGTAGTTAAGCACACTGGACTCCCACATGGTCAACCCTGGTTAGAGTCCCGGACCTGGTGACTTGCTTCCTCACTTTCTCTCTCTCTCATTCTGTCTCTCTCTAGTCAAATTAAAACAAATAAAGTTAAATAAAATAATTAAAAAATAAAAATACGAATAAGCAACACGTAAATAATACATTATCAAATTTACATGTAATCTAAGGAATGAAAAAAAAAGTATGCCCTCCCTCACGCCTTTCAAATTAACAAAGGGCTTAGAGTCAAACATCTGAGCATTCAAAGCCAAGAAGGGCATGAAGAATCCTGACTAGGCTCTTTCATCCCCAAATTCAACTTTTGGAACCCAACCAGAGGAGGATGTTGAAATCCCAGCACATGAGGTTCGTTTTCATGATTGTGAAAAGCAGACATAGCCAAAGGTGAAGAAATTCATAGTACCTTCACACATAGCCATTGAAATCAGTGTTTTCAGGGCCGGCAGATGGTGTAGCAGTTACATTGCTGGACTGGCACATGGACTACCGCAGTTCGAGTCCCAGACCCAGTGGTTTGAAAATCATGCTGGTGCATGTGTGTGTGTGCTCAAGATTCCAGGAGGAAAGTGGAAAAGGGACTGCAGTGTGGCCATCCCCCCAGGGGGTGATTTTTCACTTTCCCTCTCACTATCTCTGTCTCTGGCAAGCGCACACACCCTAAGGCAAAAAGCCTCTTTTTTTTTTTTTAAGAATTATTTTATTTCACTATATTTATTTATTTATTTTAATTTGACCAGACAAGGACAGAGAGAGAGAAAGAGAAAGTGAGAAAGCAAGCCACCAGGCCCAGGAACCTTGGTTGGCCATGCTGGAGTCCAATGCCCTTAACCACCAAGCCACCTGCTGGCACCAGCAAAAATCCTCTTTAAAAAAAAAGGCCAGCAGGGCCTGCAGGTGGCATGGTGGTTAAGGGTGCTGGATTCCCACATGGCAGACCACAGTTTGAGTACTGGACCTGGTGACTTGCTTTTTCACGTTCCCTTTCTCTCTCTCTGGTCAAATTAAAAATAGTAACAAAAGAATTAAACAAATAAAAAATTTAAAAAGGAAATTAAAAAGGGACCAGTAGATGGTGTAATGGTTATGTCACTGGACTCCCATGTAGTCGACTGCAGTTCAAATCCCAGACCTGGTGGCTTAAACTCACACTGGGCATGTGTGCGTGCATGCCCAAGATCCCAAGAGGAGAATGGAAGAGAAGGGATTGCGGCATGGCCATCCCCACAAGGAGTGACTTCTTGCTTTCTGTCTCTCTATCCCTCTCTGCCTTTCTGGCAAGCTGCGCAGAACACAGCGACTCAAAAAAAAAAACCCCTAAAAAAAAAAAAAAAAAAAAAAAAGGCCAGCAAGTGGAGTAATAGTTATATATATGTGGCTGGACTCCCACTGTCTCTGTCTCTCAGTTTCTCTCTCTGGCAAGCACACACACCCTAAGGCAAAAACCCCTAAAAAAGAAGAAAGAAAGATATCAGTGTTTTCTAAGAATTTTATTTATTTTTTATTTACTTTTTTTTTTTTTAGAGATTTTTGCTATAAGGTATGTGCACTCTCCAAAGAGCCAGAGATAGGGAGATAGAAAGTGAGAAATTACCCCCCCTCCATGGAGAATGGCCACACCACAATCCCTTCCCTCCATTTTTCTCTTGGGTTTTTGGGCATACATGTGTACATGCCTGGCATGAGTTGTGTGTTTTTGTTTGTTTGTTTGTTTGTTCTGAGAGGTTTTCGCTATAGTACGCGTGCGCTCGCCAGACAGAGAGAGAGACAGAGAGACAGAAAGCGAGAAATCACCTCCCAGGGGGGATGGCCACGCCACAATCCCTTCTCCTCCATTCTCCTCTCGGGATCTTGGGCACGCACGCACACGCGCCCGGTGTGAGTTTTAAGCCACTGGGTCTGGGACATGAACCGCAGTCGACTATGTGGGAGTCCAGAGACATAGCCATTACGCTAACTACTGGTTCCCCCTAGCATGAGTTTTAAGCCACCAGGTCTGGGACTCGAACTGCAATCAACTATGTGGGAGTCCAGGGACATAACCATTACTCCATCTCTGGTCCCAAATTTTATCTATTTTTATTGTCAGAGGGCATGTGTGTCTACCAGAGTCAGAGAGAAGGCGGGAAAGAGAGAAAGCACTCTAACAGGATAGGATCATGCCTTAACTCCTCTCCTCCATTTCCTCATCCTATTGGGATTTAGGGCATGCGCACGCGGCATGTGTTTTTCTTTCCTTCCCCCCCCCTTTTTTTTTTTTTTG